TGTTCATCACCTTCTGGTGCAGCCTCCAGCGGTCCCGCCGCCAGCTGCACCGCCGGGACATCTTCCGCAAGAGCAAGCACGGGTGGCGCGACACGGACCTGTTCAGCCAGCCCACCTACTGCTGCGTGTGCACGCAGCACATTCTGCTGGGCGCCTTCTGCGACTGCTGCGGGCTGCGCGTGGACGAGGGCTGCCTCAAGAAGGCCGACAAGCGCTTCCCGTGCAAGGAGATCATGCTTAAGAGTGACGGCAGGGCCCTGGACGCCATGCCCCACCACTGGATCCGGGGCAACGTGCCCCTGTGCAGTTGCTGCGTGGTTTGCAAGCAGCAGTGCGGCAGCCAACCCAAGCTCTGCGATTACAGGTACGGCCTTTGTGGGTACACGTTGTCCCAGGATGCGGGGTAGGAGTCGGGATCTCGCAGAGTGCGCTAGAGACCTACCTTGATCTCTGCAAATGGCCTCAACTGCCCACTTCAAGGAACCAAGCTTGCCCCGGGTATTGGACAAGCAGGGCAGCTTTGCAGTATCATTTGCCTAGATGATACATCTAGCCTCTGCTCCTCAGCCAGCCTGCCCTTTTGGGTAATAAAACTTGGCACTGAACTTTGATCCAGAGGCCTCTAAGTACTACATACTTCATAGCCACCATGTTACGTTTTCGCTTTTGTTACTATGGATTATTTCCATTTTAAGTGAGAAAAAACGAAGTGTGGACAAATTGACTTTTCCTTAGACTCGCAAAACTGATTCTCCTCAGCATCCTTTTATGAATGGACAGTGAAAACAAGCATCATTCCATGGCAGCGCTTTAATTATCTTTTTCAAATATAGATATTGGTGCTGTGATGAAAGACAAAACTTAAAGGATTCTCCTTTTGCCACATGGCCTTCTTAGGACTGGTAGCATCTTAGACAGTCTTGGATTAAGCCAAGAATATTTTGATGGCTTCTAAATAGACACACATTAGACAACACATGAACATTCTTAAATATTCTCTGAAAATAGGTGAAGATGCTCTTTGCTGGTATTAGAGATTCATAATAAAAGGAGATGCTGCTCCCGCAGATCATCTGCTTTAACTCATTTTGCAGTTGAGCGAATTTTAGTCAGTGTTAGGAATAGTGTTAGGAATACTAACACTTAGCCTTGTCTCAGCCTTAAGTCTGGACATTCCATTGTCCTGAGTTTTATTTCTGACAAGTAGAAAGGGCCCTAAACATGTTTAAGACCTAAAAGAGAAAGCTGACACTAGATAGAAAATTACTTTTTTATTTATTTCCATCTTTATTTTTTTCTTTTACTTCAAAATCTTCTTTTTAATTTGTCTTCCGAATTTAGATGTACTTTTGGCATCAATGAGAGCTAGGTTACCAGCGTCTTTAAATAAATTTAATACCTCTCTCTATAGTTAAGCTTTCGTCTTCAAAAGCTGGGATTAGTTGGAAAGAAGACATGACTGGCATATTATTTCCTTCCCTTCTTGGTGTCTGTGTAGAATTAGATAAAAACGGCCTCCATAAATATCTGAACTGCACTTCAGATACTCCTTAATGAATAATAGTGCTCTGATCTTCCACCCAAATGATTTTACTTAGAAATGAGTATCTGGGGGCGACTGGGTGACTCAGTTAAGCGTCTAGCTCTTGATTTCTGCTCAGGTCATGATCTCACGGTCATGGGATCAGGCCCCACATCTGGCTCTGCGCTAAGGGTGGAAGCCTGCTTGGCATTCTCTCTTTCCCTCTCTCTCCCGCATTCTCTGCCCCTCCCCCACTCATTCTCTCTCTCTCTCAAAATAAACATTAAAAAAAAAGTGGGGTCGCCTGGGTGGCTCAGTTGGTTAAGTGTCAGACTTCAACTCAGGTCACAATCTCACAGTTGGTGAGTTTGAGCCCCTCATTGGGCTCTCTGCTGTCAGTGCAGAGCCTGCTCCGGAGCCTCTACGTACCTCTCTGCCACTCTCTCTCTCTCTCTCAAAAATAAATAAGCACTTTTTTAAAAATTGCATTTGCACCAAAAAAAAAAAAAAAAAACATATCTGACCCAGTCCCTCCTCTGCTTAATTAAACCCCTACCCCTTCAGTTGCTCCTGGTCACTTACCCTGATGGTCTTTCAGTATAACCTTCAGGTGCTTAACATGGTGCCCAGGGGCTGACGTGCTCTCTGGACCCTGCCTGCCCTTCCAGTTTTTACCTGCCACCACCTTCGTTAAACTTCAAGCACCAGCAACACTGGCTTTTTCATATTTCCCTTCTCTTTCTCAAGGCTTTCCTCCCCTGGCTAGCTTTTAGGCATCCTTAGAGACTTGTCTTGTGTCCTTTCCTCCAGGAACCCTTGCCTGATCTACTCATCCCCAGGCCCAGAGTTTTCCTTTTTGATGATGACGTAATATCCGATATCTCAGTGGTTCTCAAAGTAGGTTCCCCAAACCAGCAGTATTAGCATCATTTGGAAACTTGTTAGAAATGCAAATTCTAGTGTTGCCAGATTTAGCAAACAAGACAAAAACATTTGCAATATTGCGGCCAGCTTATATCCCCCCCAAATCATTCGTTGTTTATCTGAAGTTGAAATTCAGTTAAGCATCTTCTATTTTCTTCGTGACCCTACTCCCACCTCCGACCCCCTGAATCAGAAACTTAGGCTGGAGAGGAGCAGTCTTTGCTCTGGCAGGCCCTGCAGGTAATTCTAAAGTTGTATGTACCTTTTACAACATCAGCCTCTGTCCTTAATGTTGTGTCCTCCCCTTTGTACACAGTGAATGTGATGATACATCTTTTTCTCACGAGTTCTTATCAGATACTCAACAGTCTGTCCTCAGCTTGCTAGAGCCCCTCACCACGGGTGGGGATTGTTTCTGTGTAATTTAGGAAATGCTTGTTACTCCCAGGAGAAAAGAGCATGGCGCCCTGAAGTTGTGCGTGTTCTGCAGTGTTCTCCTGTATTTTAGCAATAGCATTATGCAGGGTTACTGAATGCTCTGACCTTCCATAGGAATGAGATATTTCAAGAAAATAAACTATCTATTAGAACTTTAAACACAAGCCAGACCGTCCCTCTGGATTTTACCCAGCCCTGGCGAGGGCTTCTACCATGTCTGTATCACTACAGAAGTATGAGTCTTAAGGGAAGTATAAAGACCCAGGTAACAACTGATTCTGAAGCTTGTGGGCCAGTTCAGCTCTGCCGAATAAGTGACAGAGGCCCTTTAATTTATACTCATTCAGTCTTGATTCAGTTTTCACACGGTGAGCATCTATGTATTTTGTTTCAGGCGCTGTGCCAGATTCTACTTTCCCTGTAGGTTTTTTTCTCTTCGTGTATATTTCCCCAACCACTATAATGTGTCTCTGCACCTAGTATCGTATCACTCCTTCCCTATCCTTCCTTTTTTTCTTAACTGTCACCTGACTAAAATGGGGAATTGTGTTATAAGTATTCATTATATTTGTTAAATAAACCTTTGTTCCTTATAGTAATCCATCTCTTGTTAAGAAAACTTAAGGTGTTTTTTTTTATTTTTTATGTTTATTTATTTTTGACAGAGAGAGAGAGAGAGAGAGAGACACAGAGCATGAGCGGGGGAGGGGCAGAGAGAGAGGGAGACACAGAATCTGAAGCAGGCTCCAGGCTCCGAGCTGTCAGCGCAGAGCCCGACACGGGGCTCGAATTCACAGACCGCGAGATCATGACCTGAGCCGAAGTCGGATGCCCAACCGACTGAGCCACCCAGGCGCCCCCTTAAGGTGCTTTTTTATTTATAAGGCCTTTTCTTCCTTACATCCTATCCTCTTACACACACTGATTAATGAAACAAAGCTTTCTTCGTTACATCCTATGTAAGAAAAGCTTCCAAAGCTTTTCTTCCTTACATCCTATGCCCCTTACACACACCGATTAATGAAACAAAGCTTCTGACTTTTAGCAGGTGATTACATTGGCCACTTTAGTCTTGACTTTGATCTTAAACTGTATGTTTCTGTGTTCTGTTGGTATGTATTTATTCATTTCTTTAATTATCTGAAATGATGAAAGATCCCAGATCATTTTTTTTAATTTTTTTTTAACGTTTTTATTTATTTTTGAGA